AGGTGTATATGTTTGTCTGGCAGGAATCATCTGACCTTGACCTCATTTTCATTGTTCATTGGTCAATGTTAAGTTTTCATGGTTAAGTTTGTTTCTTAGATACTATAATCAATAGGTCAACTATATTTAATGCATACATTGATTGTAAGGTGTACATGTCTGTCTGGCATGGTTCATCTGACCTTGACCTCATTTTCATGGTTCATTGGTCAATGTTAAGTTTTCTTGGTTAAGACTGTTTCTTAGAAACTATAAGCAATAGGTCAACTATGTTTGGTTTATTGAATGATTGTAAGGTGTACATGTATTTCTTGTTTAGTTTATCTGACCTTGACCTCATTTTCTTGGATCTTGTTAAGTTTATGTGTTACTTGTAGTAAAGCTTTATATTTAGGACTATCAACATAAAATCAATGGTTAGTAAAGAAGGTGAGACATTTCACTCTTGTTGACCAATCCACTAAATGAGTAACAATGCATGATGGACTATTACGTATTTACGATCGATCGAGAACATGTGTTATTTACTGAAATACAGCACATTTTTTCATGCATTGTAGGATAAACACTTTAGCTTAGTTTTTCATATTTTGTAACTACATTTATAGTTTGTGATGTAATGTATTTGTTCCTTGCTCAGATTAACGAATAGTTGTTTCTCTGCGAAGAAACGAGTATTTGAATTACCCGAAATATAGCCATTAATATTATTGATGATTAAACAAAGATTTCAGATATTCGTCCACAAGGCAATAACGAAACAGTAGTGAAAAACATAGTTATCCCTAAGATGAACTTTCATTTAGATAGTTAAAACATAAGGGATCTTGAAATTTTGAGTGGGTTCGTAAAGAAGGGGAAGACTAAGAGTGTGTCAAATATGTGTTGGGGTCACTGAAATATCCCAGCTTTTCACATAATTGATGTAATGATATGTACCTACATATATGATTAAAAAAGTCATTTAAATCGAGGAAGGGTATGTATTTATTACTTTGTCTCTAAGAAACAAGCATAAACACTTTTCAGAAAGATTGGTTTTCTATTATCTTGAAAAGAGATATTTACTATAGAATTCCATAAAGTATTTTTAACCCTAAACCATTAGAGTTGCGCAATGGCCTTATATGATAAAGAATCTGAGAAAGACTCATTAAATCATGATAAGTGGTTTAGGAGGAGTTGCGGATACAATATGGGTACCCCATATAAAGCAATGGCAAAGTTCATGTTTAGGAAATAGAAACCCCAAAAATAATTTTTACCAAAAACAAAATATGAAATGCAAAATTGCATTGTATGGTAACTTGAGGAATATGAGATAGTTTCATTTCATTATAATAAGTGTTTTAGGAGGTCGGAGTTGTGGATACAAAAGTGAAACATGTCCTACTGAACAAACAAACAGAGGAACGGACTAAACGACAGACAGACAGCCAGATGGACGGTCTCCCAATCACTATATACATATAAATAGGTGATCTAGTGATCAAAGATACCCCCGCTTGCAAAAAACTATTTCCTGGAACAAAAATTAAAGTTGATAGAATTTTGGCTTGTAATCTATGTTTCATCTTTATTTATTCTAAAAAGATTTTTTAAAAGATATTAATTTGTCAAATTATTTATGGGTCAAATAAGATATTTGTTCTTTGGAACTCTTAATTTCATAAAACTTTATTTTCCCATAATTTGAATTTAAATTGATAACAACTGAAAATCCATAATGGCCCTGTTAGTTCAGAATGGCCAGGTGTAAGTCTGTAATGGACTGGTTTCGCTTTTATTGATAGAGGAATTTTTAATAAAATTGGCAAACGACTTCATCTATGGAAAAAAGTGTACAAATTATGTAAAGCTATTTACCGTTCCCACTTTTAATAACACAATTTTTTGAGAATACTAAATATGATGTACTTACTTTTAGTTCAGGTCCTGAGGGAAAGTTTACACATCAAGCGAGATAAGTCTGTGTCTGTCTATACATCCATATTGCCGGGCAGCCTGTAATGCCACAACAGGAACATGTTTGAAATTAAGCAGTGTTTCAGTGCCATGTTCTATGTGTTTTTAGAAGCAGCAATGTTTTTGGAATGGCATTATACAGGATACAAAAAGTATCCAAGAGCATATATATAGAGAGGTGTGTAACCCATTCCTTCAAACCTTTTGGACAGGTTTCAAAGAGCTCAAATGATTTTTATACTAGACATTTCATTAAAAATTTCATTGTTTCGTATGAAATTAATGCATAACAATGGACAAAACCTGTTCAACTACTTTTACAAGTCGAAAATGAAAGTCGATTCGTGTAGCCAGTAAACAATATTTTTTTAATCTGAGCATCCAAATTTAAGATTGTGTATTTTACATTTATTATATTGGCTGAACAACAATATTTATTATTAGAGTCCCAGACACTATATAAGTAAACAGTTTTCCCACTAATTCCACATGTTTTTAAATGGTAGTAAACTCGTAATAGCCCACAATGCATTGTAGTTCATTGAATTGATTGGTCAGTTTTTCAAGGCCATATTTACCTTCTGGTGTAACACCACTAATTCGGGCCCCGTCAGAAAGCACATACCAGAAAGTAGTACATATTTAACACAAAATAGTTCTTACGCACGGGTGTAACTTTCAAAATATGTAGAATATTTTGGTAATTTTGGTATCAAATGAAAGCTGAATGATTTGTGATCATTGTAGAACACTTTTTGACTTATAATTTTGAATTATAAAAAAATTGCATGAAATTTAAAAAGGAGGGTAATTTTGCCTGTTTGTCAGATCTGAAGTACCTGTTTTGGTACATCCGAAGTCCGGGAACCAGTTCTCTCTTATATGCCATTTAAGGTATGTTCAAGACATCATACGGTGTTGCTTTGACATGCAATGATTGCCACTTTATTTGAACTTAAGACAAAAGAGCTGTGTCTGCCTGAAATTGAGGAATTTAACATGGAAAGCAATAGGGCCATGATTTAGTAGTGTACTTCCTTCTATTTGGGAAATTACTATGCAAATATATATTGACATCAGGAAATCTAGTGTTCCTGACCTGTCTAAGGTGCCAACTTCTTGCTTGTTTAAACTTGTACATAGACTGATGCCTCAGAAATAGACTTCTAACACACATAATTTCTTTTTATTCAAACTTTTATTGTACTGCTTCAATTCTAAATCAGGAAACTAAAAATATCACTTCTTACAAGTAAAAAGTTTGGAAAGAAAAATTTGCAAAAAAAAAAAAAATAATGATTTTAAATTTTTAATGCTGTATACTTATGCATACAATAATTTATTCTCTTGCTTTGACGGAGTCAAAAAGCAAGAATTACGGTATGTTGTTTCCAACGGCGGTGGCGTAGACGTCAACAATGAATGAGTTTGTGATTAGGTAAATTTATGGAGAACCACTAGTAGAAGGTCAATGATATTTTGTATGCAGTAGTATTAGCATTGGCACATCTCATTTAGATGGAAATTATTTGGCCCCGCCCCCTCAGTTTTGGTCTAGTGACTTTGAAACTTTTGCTTAGTTTACATGTTTTAGTTTGTGGTTAGGTCAGTTTAAGGGGGACTACTAGTGGTAGGTCAATGATATTTGGTTTATAAATGCATTAGCATTGGCACATCTCATTTCCATGTAGATTATTTGGCTCTGCCCCTTCAGTCTATTAACTTTTAATTTTTTGCATAGTTTACATGTGAAAGTTTGCGATGAGATCAGTTTTTAAGAGGAACCACTAATGTAATGTCAATGATATTCGGTATGCATTTGTATTAGCATTTGCAAGTCTCTTTTCCAAGGAGATTATATGGTCCCATCCCCTCATTATGGTTCATTGACTTTAAAACTTACATTGTTTATGTGATAAGTCAATGGTATTTGGTATGCAGTTTCATAAGCATTAGCCTTTCTCATTTCCATGAATGTTATTTTGTCCTACACATGAAGTAATGGTTCATCGACTTTGAATGTTTTGCAAAGTTTATATCTTTAAATATTGCCATTTGGATTCAACTACCAAAAATACAAAAAGGCAAGACATATCTCTGTGTCAATAGTTTATTAATGTTAGTGTTTCACTCTTGGATAAATGATTGAAATGATTTTTTAAATAGACTATTAATACTACACATGTCACCATTTTCACAGCATATCAATACAAAAAAAATGTGTGATATCTGAACAAGAAGAAGTCCCATATACGCATGATGTACTGTGATAGTCATGCAGTTTCAAAATGACTTGCGATGCATACATTTTTTCAACTGGACATGGTAATGACAAAAGCCTACATAGCATGTTTTTTTTCTCTCACACTTGGCTGTAGCCTGTGTGATTGCTGAAGTTCGAACCTGAGGTTTCATTGTTTTAAGATAACTGCATACAGAAAAGCTGTTGGTGCATTAGAAAATTGGAAGACAGTAATTCAATAGCAATATATTTCTTAAGATTTTGATAAGAGAAAGCATTTACTTTTAATAGAAAGTTCATGCAAATATGTTTAGTAAAAACTTAGCCACCATTCAAGTATATATATATATATATATATAAGTCTAGAGATTTGCACAACGATACTAATATAAGATGGTATTATACGAAGATGTTGTTAATAAATCGTGTTGACAAATATTTCGGCTTAACAAATAGCCTTCTTCGGTGTCAATTATTTTAACAATAAATAGCCTTCTTCGGTGTCAATTATTTTAACAATATTGTTAAAATAATTGACACCAAAGAAGGCTATTTGTTAAGCCGAAATATTTGTCAACACGATTTATTAACAACATCTTCGTATAATACTATCTTATATTAGTATCGTTGTGCAAATCTCTAGACTTATATAATTTTTTTCCTTATCTGCACAGTATCGTCTATTCTAGACGATCCGGTACATAGTAAATTTGCTGGTTGGTCCTTTTTATAGACTTCTATATATATATATATATATATTCAATATCATATGACTAAGTAATGTACGTTTCAGATTTACATGAAGGAAATATGATGTCATTACATGTTCCTTGGAGTCAAGAAGATGTTTATTCATTTAGCAGGTAAATGTTTTATTGTATCGGGTATTTCCCTATGTACTCTGGATTCATTATCATTTGTTGGATCCCATTTTTTTTGTGGATTTCTTGGGTATAGGTCAACCATGAATTTAGATGTTCAATGAAGTAAAACTTTTCAATTGGCATATATGCAGAATTTTGCACAGCCGCGAAATCAAATATCCACAAAAATACAATTTTCCCTCAATCAGAAAATTAGTATCTACAAAAATTAATGAATCCATAGTATTCATTCTTCCATTCAACTTTAAGAAAAATCTGTTTCATGATTTTGTGAAGTTGCATGATATCCAATGAGATGAAATTAGACTAGCAGTTATCGACAGTGCCATAAAACATTGACCCAAGAACATTAAGATCAATTACTGTAAATCATTTGCAGCTAATTGGGTCAGTAGTTATGATTTTAACAGCCTTTTATTTTGACCTATATGGCATTCCACTACTTTAAAAAAAGATATATCTTAGCTAAACTGGGTCGATAGCTGGAAGTGCAATCTTACAATTCATTGTTCATGTACTTTTTAGCTCACCGTTCAGAAGGAACTGTGAGCTTTAGCCATCACTAGGCGTCCGTCGTCGTCGTCCGTTTGGTGTAAACTATTTCAAACATCTTCTCCTCTGAAACTGCTGAACCAATTCCAACCAAACATAAGCTGAATGATCCTTAGGGTATCTAGAATAAAGTTTGTGTTTTATTTTCTGTTTTGTCAAAAAACATGGCTGCCATGGCTAAAAATAGAACATACAGGTAAAATGCAGTTTTTGGCTTATATCTCAAAAACCAAAGCAGTTAGAGCAAATCTGACAAAGAGTAAAAGTGTTCATAAGGTGAAGTTCTATCAGCCCTGAAATTTTCAGATGAATCTAATAACCCATTGTTTGGTTGCTGCCACTAAATTGGTAATTTTAAGGAAATTTTGCAGTTTTTGGTTATTATCTTGAATAGTATTAATGATAAAGATAAACTGTAAACAGCAAATATGTTAAGCAAAGTAAGATCTACAAATAAGTTGATATGACCAAAATTGTTAATTGACCCCTTAAGGAGTATTGCCCTTTGAGGACAATTTTACACAATTTGTTTATCATGTTTTCTAACTTTAAAAAATCTTCTCCTCTGAAACTACTGAACCAATTCCAACCAAACTTAAACTGAATGATTCTTAGAGTATCTAGAATAGAGTTTGTGTTTTATTTTCTGTTTCGTCAAAAACATGGCCGCCATGGCTAAAAATAGAACATAGGGGTAAAATGCAATTTTTGGCTAATATATCTCAAACACTTAAGCAATTAGAGCAAATCTGATGAGAGGTTAAAATGTTCATTAGGCCAAGTTCTATCAACCCTGAAATTTTCAGACGAATATAACAGTCCATTGTTGGGTTGCTGCCACTAAATTGGTAATTTTAAGGAATTTTGCAGTTTTTGGTTATTATCTTGAATATTATTAATGATAAAGATAAACTATGAACAGCAAAAATGTTCAGCAAAGTAAGATCTACAAATAAGTTAATATGACCAAAATGGTCAAATGTGGCCTTAAGGAGTTATTGCCCTTTAAAGACAATTTTTCACAATTTGTTCATCTAGTTTGCTTACTTTAAAAAATCTTCTCCTTTGAAACTGCTGAATCAATTTCAGCCAAACTTGGGCTGAATGAGTTTCAGAGTATCTAGTATAAATTTTGTATTTTATTTTCTTGTACGTCAAGAAACATAGCCACTATGGCTAAAATGGAACATAGGGGTAAAATGTATTTCTTTGCTTTTGAAGAAAATATGACAGATACAAAGAACATCTCAATGGAATTTTTAAGCCACTCATTCATATATATTAAAAAGCAAAAATAATCATTGATAAAAGATTTAAGCAAAAAATTACAGGTGAGCGATTCAGGCTCTTGAGAGCCTCTTGTTGTAGATATGCTACTGCAAATTCAGAAATTATTGCAAGGTTTTACTTCATGCGAATAATGCAACTCCTTGAGTATCGATGATAGGGGAATTAAAAGTGACAAGTGTAATGGACATATGGATGTTTATTGTCTGTCTGTCCAGTCTTGTTAGCGCGCTCACATGTACAATTATTGCCAGAGTTTTAAGAAACTTATATCATAGGTTTATATCAGCAATATCTTGGACAAGTTCGAAAATCAGTGCTGATCAATAATTTTAAAAGAGTTATGGCCCTTAGAAATATTAATAATATGGAAAATTGCATTGTTAGTGCTCTCATATGTACAATTCTTGCCAGATTTTTATGAAACTTATATTGTAGGTTTATATTAGCAATGTCTTGGACGAGTTCTAAAATCACTGCTGATCAATAATTTTGTAGAGAGTTATAGTCCTTAGAAATATTAATGACATGGAAATTGCATTGTTAGCGCTCTCATGTGTACAATTCTTCCCATATTTTTATGAAACTTATATTGTAGGTTTATATTAGCAATGTCTCGGATGAGTTTTAAAATCAGTGCCAATGAACTATTTTTAAAAGAGTTATGCCCCTTGGAAATATTAAATATATCAGAAATTGCTTTCAAGTCTTCAACTCTCTAAGATAATTTTAAAAAGTTTTAAAAAAAAACAAAAAAAATGGTTTTATTTATTGCCCTTTGACAGATAAAATATGTGCAAAGCAGGGGACATTGGAACTCTGTTCTTTTATATACAAGGACTTTCAATTTTCTTTTTCATCATAGTGAATGCTTACTTATGGTTTTAGTTTTATAATGCTATCAATCAATTTTCCTTTGTTTGATAATAAATGGTTCAAATAAACATCACTTCAACATTAAATGAACTCTAATTTAAATAAAGTGTGGTATGAAAGTCACGTCCGTAAAACTACTTCTTTGACAGTAAAAAATAAAAACAAAGTTATCAGCATTTTATGAAAATGAAATATATGATACCTCTGAGATTAAAACAATATTTTGCTTGAGAAAAATTTAACATAGAAAAATTCATTCCAGGTACAAGGTTGGACTGCATACTGTAAAAATCACCATTATTACTGTCGGTTCTAACTACTAAAAGGTCAACTATGACCAGTTTGATAAAAAAATAAAAAATTTCGCTCAAGCCTGTGATAGGGGCCGTCTTAAACTTGCAGTGAGGTGACAATTTTTTACTCCATGTTGAAGGTCTCACTGTGACTTTGAGATGAAGAACAGCAATGAAAGCGCTGTTCCTTTGCTCTTTGTGTGTTTTTTGGCTGTGTATGTACTGATTTTGTGTCATGGATAGGATACCCCATATCCTTTGTTTTTCTATAATACTTATATATCCAAAACTAAAGCATAATTGATCCTTCATGTTGAAATAATCAATTTTGGTTGTATAATAGCTAATAATTGTCTTAATCTTGGTTATACGAAATGTTTTAAGAGCTATGATTGAATTTCCTCTCTGAACAACTTCAGAATCAACCTGTATCAGATGTTTGAAAATTTGAGTTAGATTTAACTATTGTTAATTTGTAGAATGCCTAAATATAGATTTGATCCGTGTGGATATAATCATTTCAACTATTAAAGAATAAAAAAGACAAAATTTGTGATTATCTTCATGAAATTCCGTTGATTTATTGTCAAAACGTAAAACAGAGAGTTGTTTTACCAGAAATTGGCTAAGCTAGAGAATTTATAAGAAGTAGTGGATTCAGAAACTACCTTTAAGTATCGAAAAGTGATACTTAAAGCGTTGTCTGTGCAATAACTTAAAAACTCTTTGATCAAATCTTTTCAAATTTAGATATGTTGTTTTGTGTGACTGAATGAAGGTCAAGTTCAATTTTCACAATTTTAGCTTTTATCATTGTTGAGTTGTAGCCCTTAAAGTAGTGAAAAGTGATACTTTTAAAATTAGATATGTTGTTTCCTGTAACAAAAAGAAGGTCAAGTTCGAATTTCGTGATCATTCTTCCATCGACCATACATATATTACTAAACAACAACCACTTGAAAGTGGGTTTCTGGAAAGTTATTGGAGTGACAACATAAGTGACAATAAGGTTATAATGTCATAAACATATTTCTTTAATTATTGACTTCATGGTTTTTGCCTACCCACCCCTGCTGAACAAATATGTTGTGTACTTATATACTCTCTTAAATTCCAATATTATGTCACTTATGATAAATAGGAGGTCAAGATTGATTTTGGCCTTGCCATTTCTGATTCTACAAAAATTCATTTATTTTTATGCCCCTACCGTAGGCAACAGGGGCTTTAGGTGTTACCCTTGACAGTTCGTCCATCCTTCCATTTGTCTTTCCATCTGTCTGTACTTCCGTCCATCCCATTTTTGTTTCCGCACTCAAACTTTAATTTGCCTCATGCGAATTGTATGAAACTTATACACAATGCTAAGAACCACAACATGCAGACAGAGTTCGAATTTGGGTTGTGAGTCATTTACCTTTCTAGAGTTATGCACCTTTTTGAGTTGGAAAATTGCAAAGCTTGAGCGGGGGCATTCGTGTCCTCAGACACATTATTCTTTTATTTTTACTTGATCCTTTTTGGTGGTCATGATTTGCAAATATCATTTTCATGCAGGAAAATCCGGTTTGCTGTCAATCTGACAGCCTCTTGTTCTTGTTGAGGGATTATTTAAGGAGGGGTGGTCATTGGACATTAAACATTGCGTTAAAAGCATAAGCTTTTAGTGTTATAAAAACCTTATGCTTCTGGGATAGAGTAGGGTCTGCATTTGTAGACTATATTTGCATCTTGAAATATACTGACCCAATTAAGGCAACATTTCTGTTCCTATCCAACATACCCTCATTTTACAGTGGCAGTTTAAACTAACTGCCCTTTATCCTAGTAGTCCTTTCCAGAATCTAACTATTGTATAAATTATAATGTGTTCTTATCACGAAGAAGCATGAAATATTTGCCACTGGAAGTTAAGCAGACAACAATCAATCATATGAATTACAGTAGATGTGGGATAATCATTTTCATGGT